CAGAATGTACTGAGCAGTTGGGTCGATCATAGTACGAGGTTTCTGATAGGTGGATACACTCATAATGTCATACTACATTGATCAAAAAATCTTAAGATGGTGGAGACGATTTGTAGCTCAGGTGGATGATTTTGATGGAGTTAAGTTCTCGGAGCTGGATTTTTTGGTCGTGAAGCTTTGATTGTTCTTCTGAACGACACCATCAGCACAAACTTTAGATAGAACTGTGAACTAAACTCTACCAAAATAAAATATTAAAGTTGTTTAGTAAATAGAATAATATTTAAACACTGAATGACATAAAAATTTTGTCAGTTTGTGATATAACTTGGTCGAAATAATACATCGTTAACAAATGACTTTCTCATTCTTAAGTTGGTTTTTAGTGACTTAGTTTCGTTAATCATCAATCACATTGATAACCGTTATTATATAAATCTTAATGGTGTTTGAAATCAGAAGGTAATAAGAAGGGGCAACAACAACCGAGTCTTGAGTTCGAATCTCACTAGGCGTGATCGTGGACGCTCACTTCTTAGGAGTTCTACAATAGGACGAGTTGGCCATCTAGTGCTTTTAGGTTTTCCAAGGTGGTCTAATTTCAAATGACTCATGATCTCAACTATTAAAATTAATTACATGATAGAAATTATGCTTGATGTTGTTGTTAACAGTAATTAGTTACTAAATGAATTGTCTTTTATTTATTTATTATAAAAATATTTGAATCGAATAATTATTGATTGAAGGTAGTCGACAGGCGACGATAGTTCATTTGACTCCCATAAATGACAATTGCAATCCCGAAGGGGTTTCATTTGCTCATATGGGATTCGAACTTGTATTCAAATTTAGATTCATAATTTAGGATTTCAACACTGAACTGTTTGGAATATGGCTAATCTCTTGAAAAATTGAGACTACTCTCAGTTATTTAACATGTCAACATAGTATATGTGATATTGATTTTCCTAAAGTTTCCTACCACATTACAACTTGTTTGATAAAATTCAATAAGAGCTAAAGAATTAAGTAGCCCATATGGATTACTTTATAATGATGATTCAATTGTAAATAGTTAAATGTTTCTTAGTTTAACTACTATTACACAGTATGCCAGAATGTTTAGAATGCGCTTCTCTTCCTCTAAATGAAAGTTGTTGCTTCAGGACTGGTCTGCGGTAACACCCGAACTAAGGATAGAGAGTGCAGTAGTCGAACGCGTTGACAACTTCACTTATCTTGGAAGTCTGATCAGCCCTAATGGGTTGGTGTCTGACGAAATCTCAGCACGGATTCGAAAAGCTCGTTTGGCTGTTGTCAACTTACGTCATCTTTGGCGAAGGCGAGATATCCGTCTATCAATAAAAGGACGAGTATGCTGCGCGGCAGTCCGTTCTGTTTTAATTTACGGCAGCGAAACATGGCCATTAAGAGTAGAAGACACTCGTAAGCTACTAGTATTTGACCACAGATGTCTAAGAAATATTGCTGGCGTCTGCTGGGATCACCGGCTAAGTAATAGTGAGGTTAGATGCAGGGTATTAGGAAATGATGGTAAATCAGTTGATGAATTTTCATCGACTGAGATGATTGGGCCACGTGTTACGTATGTCTGAATACCGATTACCATGACGTGCAATGCTATCCGGTATTGAAGATGGTTGGAAGAAATTTAGGGGCGGCCAAACCAAAACGTGGCATCAGTGCTTGAAGTCACTAACTATACTATATCTCTATATGCAATCTTTCTCTTATATATTACCACCTTTGACCTAACCACTGCTATGAATCCGGTGTTCATTTTGTGTGCTGATGCGGTATGGCAACCAGGACCGATGCACATATGTGCCTGGTCCTACGTTGTAGCCGACTGACTGACTGACTATTACACAGTTCATACTTAGAACTTTAAACGATAATTAGTATCTGAAAGAAAATTATCAAAGATTATGTTTGACCAGTTTAAAGGTATATTCCTTTCAATGATTTTAAAATCCATTTATTCAAGATTTCAGCAGCCGTAGTTTCTTTTCAAGTCCATATTCATAAAAAGAGTTTTCTTTTGTACTATCAATGCCATTTCTGGATGATGTCTAGGTGTTAAGTTAACATCAACGAATCTAGATCGATAATCATTCTTAATGAGAATCTGACAAAATTAAAGTAGTTCTTCATTTATTATGTCAGTAAAACATATTCGCTTGATCCTTGAGGATAAAGTGTGAATTAAGGTCCTATTTCTAATTAGTAGGACCCAGCTATGGAAATTCTTCATTGATGCACGTCAATGAGAAGTGATTCCATACCATGTTCAAACATGATGTAAAATCAAATTTATGAGATGAATTTATAAACTTTACTTGCTCATATAAATAAGCGTTTTGTCGAACATATCACTTATAGTTCAGGAAATGAAGATCATAGGTGACAATATTCATGGTTAAGATACCTTAGGGATTCATATACTTATACTTTGCTGGTAAGTAACAATAACAAAAATGAAACTCAGAAACGACAACCTATTTTCTAAATACTTCTTACCATCCAGTATGCATTCTTCTATCCATAAACCAGTATCCACACACTAATGTCAAAAGAAACGAAATCAAATCATAGATGGCGTATACTTGGATCGTTTGTCTTATATATTTCTCCACAGTCGATCTCCAAGATCACGAAATTAAAGTTCTTAAACTTTATTCTTTTAACTTACTTAAACACTAATACTTTAGACTGTTAACATCAGAACTGATCAAAAGACAAGTACTAAGAACAGGGAAATGATCATAGTTTCTTCAGATTTATTATGTTTATGACAATGTGTTAGTTGATTTCAGTCTAAAACACACATAGTATAAGATAACTCACCTCTGATCTACCTTTTGTAAAAACAAAACACTACGAAATTTTTTATAGTTAGTCAGTGATTATTTCCATTGAGAAGTAAAAGCAACTGAAGTTTGATATACATAACATATCATCCTCATTGAATTCGATTCTGAGCCATATGCAATAACATCTGAAGCTACCCAAACATAACAAATTAATTAACATTCTGATAAGGAAATGATCAGGTTTCATCAATATAAATAAGAATTCCCCTAATCGAAGCATTTTATATTCAATCATTTACAGCTGGGCTATTATCATGATGAAGTGAAAAGTGGTCTACATAATCATAAACTGTTATAGTTTTCATTATAGATAGACTGATCTCAATTGACAAACCACTACAATCCTCACATAATTAACGAAATATACGAGAAAATTTCTCTTTAATTTGTAAATCTAGGGTCTTAAACTACAATATCCAAATCACTAGGTCAGTTATAAGTTTCTAATAAAGTAGTAATGGTTGAAGAACATAATTTCGAAAGAACATGGAAGTTCGATTAAAATCTCGGAAAGGCTCCTCATTTACATAACAGTAATATACACTATCAATGTAAAGTGGTCATAGACACAATAAGGACACTTCTTATAATAGCATTTCGTAGCTTAAAATAAGGAAAAGTATCATACACAATCTGAATACGTAATTTCATTCAAATAGACACACACAGAGTAGTAAGATTACTCAAATGCCATTTTTATGGACGAGTTTTTGGGGACATTATAAATCTAGTTTGAAGTAAGAAAATAATAAGATATACAGCTTGAACCTAATAGCCGTTACTTACTTACGCCTGATACCTCTTAAAAAGGAGCATAGGCCACCCACCAGCATTCTCCATCTAACCCTATCCTGGGCAATGCTTTCCAGCTCCCTCCAGTTGTTATTCATCCTTTTTTGACGTAATGTATTCTTTAACCTTCCGCCTTTCCGCTCCCCTTCAAAATTCCATGTTGGGGCTTGCCTTGTGATGTAGTTTGATGATTCGCGTAATGTATGTTCTAATCATTTCCATCATCTTTTCCTAATTTCCACTTCGGTTGGAAGCTGGTTTGTTCTCTCCTGCAGTAGGCTGTAGTTAATGGTTTCCGGTGGACGGGCATTGAATATCTTGCGTAGACAACTATTAATAAATACTTGTACATTTTTGAAGATGGTTATAGTGATATTCCTCCTATCAGCTCTATACAATAGAACTGTGTTGAAGTTCGTAATGAAGATTGTGATTTTGATATTAGTTTACAGACAGTTTATTTGATTTCCATATATTGTTCAATTGTAGGAATTCAGTCTCACATCTTCCAGAGTTCCTCCATCAAATGTGATTGAATGAGTGTTCTCCGTATTATATTTGAAGGTCTTACTATTTCCTTTATGTATGTTAAAGCCTACTGATTCAAAGACTGCTAATAAACAAGTTGTCTTCATTCACATTTATTCATGTGTATAGAATGGAAGATCTAGGTCATCTGTACAATCTAAATCTTCTAATTGATTCCGAGCTTTCCATTGTATTCCGTGCTTCTCGTCAAATGTCAAGGTTTTCATACTCCGATCAATCAATCAGAAGAAGAAGAAGAAAGAGAAAGTTTTTGACTAAGTATCTTCCTTAAATTTTTAAACTGAATCATAGACACTTAGATCTTCAATCAATTACTCTGTTTAAATAAAAATTTATTTAGGCGCTAATTTCCATTTTCAATCTAATTAACATTTTTATAAGATAAACTATCAATCATTCATGGTCAAAATATAATTCAACCAATCAGAATTTAATTTTATATAAAATAAACATAAATATTTGATTGGTCGAAGAAATTGACTTTAAAATTGATCGAATAATTTAACCAATCAGATATCGATTGTTGTGGGTTTTTTGAAACAAACATTTACCGGTAAATATAAATTGAACGGTATCATCTAAAGAAAAACATTGATTCATTCAATTCGTACATGATTTCGATTAGTATCTATAAAAGAAATGAATTAATATCTATTACTTATTTGTATAAATGATTTATATCTTTATTGTATATGTATAAATGTTCAATTTCAATATAATATTGGATATATTTTTGTTTCATTAGAAATTCTATATAAATCAATGTCAATAATGAAAGATTTTGAATTAGATAAATATTCAAATGCATTAGTATCTCATCGTAAATCATTAATCAAATCAGATTATAAAACAACTACACATTGTAATAATGAAAAACGTTTAAATTATCCATTTACAGATTTTGAACATTGGGATAAATTCTTGAAAACAGGTAATAGTAGTAATAGTAATAATAATAAGAAGAATAATGAGGATTTTAATTCATTATCTCATATTAAATTACCAGAACGACATGTATTCACTGCATCCACAGCATCATTAATTGTACATGTACCTAGTCTATCTTATGTAAGTGAAGATATAGATGATGATTTATCAGATCATGAAATTTCTAAATTAAATCTAAATAATAATAATAATGATAGTAATAATAATAATAATAAGCATAATCGAATTTGTCCAATATGTAATACCATTTATGTGGATTTACAACAACAATTTGACGATTTTCATTTAAAACGATTCTTTAGTTTATCTACTATCAATGTAAATATGAACGATACTACTATTAATAATAATAATAATTATGATAATAGTAGTATAATTATACCAAGATTATGGGATATACTTGATATATTTTCAACGAATTCATCTAAACATTTTTGTCCATTTCATAAAAGTTTAAGTTTACACTACAATACATTTTCATCTATTACTCATAATAATAATAATAATAATATCAGTTCACCTTTGACCAACTCACTTAGTCTACCATGTTTATCTAATTTTGATGAACAATTAACAATGATATCAACAAGATCTAATGAAAATACCATTTTGCATAGTAACAATAATAATCATGTAATATACAATAAAAATATTAATAATACACCAACAATTTCAATAGAATATGCTGATAATATCTCAATTACAACAAGTAATTCACAAGAACAAATAATCAATAATAAATTATCTGGTGAAACTAAAAGTAAGTGTGAATTATGGTTGAAAACATGTTAATGTATTTTTTCTTTTTGTTTGTTTGTTTTTTTTGGGGGGGGGCTTTGTTTGTTTGTTTTTTTCTTGATGTCGATGTTGACTCGTTGGTTTCATTTTCTCTTTATCTTCAAAATTGATCTTAAATTAAAATGATAAATATAAACTAAACAAATTGAAACATTGAAAATAATAATCAATATTCTATATATGTCATCAATTTTTTTTAATCCATATGCTGATCATTGTTTAATTTGTCCCTTCCCCGCCCCCACTCTCTCTCTCTCGCACACACATACATACATAGATACATATATACATACTTCATTGATCTCCTTATACTTTATCACTGAATGTTCTCTCTGTTAAAAAGATATTGCTTTTATTGTGAATGTTCTAATTTCTATCGTTATTGTTACTAATGTTGTTATAATATTGTACTGATTGTTAATGTCATTCCTTTTATTTCCCTCTCTCTTTCCCTCTCTCTCTCTCTCTTGCTGGCTTGCTTGTTCGCTCTGTCTCTCTTTTTGTCTTTTTGTGAATTTTAATTCTTGTAAACGTGAAAAGAAAAGAAAAATATAAAAAAATCTTCCATTGATGAGTGAATTATTTGTTGTTGTTGTTGTTGTTTTCGATTATTTTCGGTGTAACAGACGTTGAAAATGATGATGATGATGATGCTACGGTATTTATAATTCCAATTAGGAAGTGTAATAATAATAATACCCACAATTGATTGATCATTGAATGATGATCGACATCATGTGTGTCAGATTTTTTGACTGACTCAAGTCTCTAACTGTGAAGTTAGGTGACATAAAATCGAATCCGTCAGGGAGTACTTTTTTCCTTACGATTATAGATACACCTTGCTGATGAGTGTTAAATAATACAAAACCCGGTTCCACGGTTACCTGTTGTCTACTTTCAACTATCATTTTATGATGATAATAATACTGTTTTGTTCATTTATAGAATAATAAAAGCAGAGTGATCGAAACAATTGAAATTCATTCATGTCATATTAATCATAGTAAATATTATACTGTACAGATAATAATGATAATAATAATCTTATTAATTGTATAGTAAACGTTACATCTATACAAGAACTAGAACCAAATATGACATGGGTTGACGATTGTTGGTGTAAATAAAAGGACAATTAACATTAATACATTGAATGTATTGACCTCATAAGGTATCGAAATTGTATTATGTTGTATAGTTCAATTACTTATGTTGATTAGTCCTTATATGTAGTAGTAACATATTCACAAGTAATTCAATGCTTTTCATAAAACCAATTTATGTAGTTATACTAAGAAAATTCAACTAAATTGATTTAACAATATAGTTAAAGAGTAATGTACGTATGGTAGAAATTTTTGTTCAATATAAGGATACCCGTAGATGAATACGTTTACCATTATTTCTTCTTATTTAAATCATATAGACCTTAAAGTAACCTTAGAAATTCATAAATCTTGTTGGAACTTTATATACAGATTTATCAGTGGTTGAGATCATGAGTCAATTGAAGTTAGACTACTATAGAAAACCTGGAAGCACTGAACAGCCAACTCATTCTATTGTCGAACTCCTCAGCAATTTGAATCCATGATCCTGCCTTGAGAGATTCAAAACCCAGGACCTACCGACCTCGCGTGCGAACGTTTAAGCACTAGACCACTGAGCCGGCTGGCATACAATGGTGTTAATGTCCAGCTTCAAGCACTCCACGAAATGCATATTTTTTAAATTTATAATTTTTCCTCTAGCTAGAAACTGATCACTTTTATAACCTATTTGTGGATTAGCAAAAAAATATCAGCTTTATATACTAAATATTATATTAAATGTCCTTCAACTCCCTTTCTGATTACTTCAATTTGACCTAATAAACTCTATTTAATCGAGCATATCTAATCTCTCAAATATTGATTTCCACAAGTTATACTTTCTAAAGAGTTTCTAGTTTTTGATTGAAATCGTCAATGTTAGACCATTAATTAAAACTTAGAACCACTGGATGGCCATTTCGTCCGATTACTGTACTCCTTAGTAGTGTTCATTCAAGATCCTACACTTAAGACTCTAATCTAGGACCTTCTATATCAGTTTTCTAGGATTAGATAATATGTGCTAACTGTTGTATAATAATATTTACCATATAAACATCAACCGTTTTTATCCCCTTTTGAAACGTTTGATCAATTTGTAGCCATAGATCCTATATATGGTATCGAACCCGAAATCTTTAAATTTTTTGTCAAGAACTATACTATTCAACCATTAAGTTAAAATTGAATGCTCTAAATGTTGAACCTTAACCGGGTTATTATTCAAAGAAATCACCAACTATCAAATTCAATGAGCTATATTATCATTCCCTCATTGGTTAGTTTGGTAGAATATGGGTCCATTTTGAGAAACTTCCACATTATTTGTAAACTAGTCATTACTAAAAACATGTTTATTATTCAATAGTAGAACGAAACGACCATCCAATACTTTCAGGTTTCCCATGGTGGTCTAGTTTCAGTTGACTCATGATCTCAACTTTCATTACATAAACTCCATTCATTCAATCATTCATTCAATTAAACTAGGGTCATGTAAATTTCATTGATTTGAATAGCATATCATCATCAGTTTTCTTTTGATTAATTAGTCAGATGATATTACATTAGTTTATCATTATTATTAAATATAGAATAAATGATTCCATATATGATTTATACTGCAAATATAACAATTCAATAAACATTACTGTAATATGTAACTACTAGATGTGTAAACAATTTTTCTTATTGATAAAGGATTTTTAATAGTTGAGCTCATGAGTCAATTGAAGCTAGACCAACATGGAAAACCTATAAGCACTAGATGACCGTTTCGTCCTATCGTAGGACTCCTCAGCAATGAGCATCCACGATTCTGCCAAGCAAGATTCAAACCCACTACCTATCAGTCTCATGCGCGAGCGCTTAACCATTAGATATATCATATGAAGAAACTATTTGATGTAAAACATATTTATCTTGAAATATTAAAACATTCCACGCCCCACTTATGATCATCATATGTAACTTGAAATGTTCAGTTGATATTGAATAGTTATGTACTATTGATCTAATAAATGTTTTTCTTTTAAATTGAACAACCTGTTCAGTCTGTGGTGTGTGCTACTAATGTCGATAAATATAAGTAGTATGTAGCGTCAATCGAAGTTGAACATTATGAAGTTCGAAAAAAAGAGAAATGGAACAGTGAATGATCACTATGGAAACAAAGGAACAATAAAAGTCTAAGATGATTGATAGACATTTTACAAATGAAATATTTACTGTATGGTTCTCAAATCCTACTAAGATGTTCTACATTTTTGTATTCAAACACATTCGATTGTCCCGTATTTGTGTTCTTCTTCACTACACGTCTACTTAATTGATTAGTCTTTCTTTTTTTTTAAAAAAAGAAAAGGGAAGTCTATTTAGTAGACCAATCAAACTACATACCTTCATAGGAACTAAAACCAAATGTTTATGAGTATTGATTGATAGACGAAATGTTAAATATAAGTAGTTTCGATCCATAGTCCACATTCATTGTAGTAAAAGATTAAAAATTAAATAGATTGTATTCAGGTCGAAGGCTCGGGGTGTGGCCTCCTAATAAAACCACCTGCTTCTGTTTGGGCACCCGGGCAGTATCACAGCCCTCACATATATCGAATGAGATTTGTGTGGCGCATATGTATTTGGTGCCTCTTTGTACCATTATCTATGTGTTGAAATAAATAAATAAATATAATTTTATACATTCAATATTCAAATCTTATAATCATGTTTGATTGTGTTCTGTTATGTTTATGGTTTTGAATTGGAAGTTGTTTATAAATTAATAGTTGACCAACAATCAAAGCAAGGAGTTATATTCAATCTTTAATAAAATTCGTTATTTTGGCGAACTTATATCTTAGTGATAATGTGAAAACAAACACAAATTCCTACTTATTACCGAATATATTCATTGATTGAATAGACAATTACTCTAACCGTAATGCAAAACTCAAACTGACAGACTACATAGAAACAAGTTCATGAAAATATATACATAATAAATATAAACTATTATATTAGGTGAATAATAATTTAGTACCTTCGTTACTTACTTACTTCTTAACGCCAGTTACTCCCAATGGAGCATAGGCCGCCAACCAGTATTTTCCATCCTACTCTGTCCTGGGCCTTCCGTTCAAAGTTCTATCCAATTGTTGTTCATCCTTCTCATGTCCGTCTTTATTTTTCAGCAAAATGTGTTCTTTGGTCTTCCACTTCTCTTTTATTCAGCCTTGAGGATTCCAAATTAAAGCTCGCCTTGTGACGTAGTTGGGTGCTTTCCTCAATGTGTGTCCTATCCACTTCCAACACTTCTTCCTGATTTCTTCCTCCGCTGAGATCTGGTTTGTCCTCTCCTATGTTAGGTTGTCGCTGATAGTATTCGACCAATGGATCCAAAGTATTTTGCTTAAGCAACTGTTAATAAACACTTGTATCTTTTGGATACTGGATTTCGTAGTTCTCCAGGTTTGAAAAAATAATACAAACCATTTAGTACCTTCATAGCTTTATGACAAAAAAGAAATCAAAAATGTTCATTATAATAGGATTACCATCTATCAACAGAGACTGATCGAATACCATCTTGAATATCAATACCGTGATCATATTGTCTCACAAATATCACTTTTATATTTAATATTATTATAATTTGATTAATAGAATTCAATCAACACTAAGGACTAGACAAGCATGAAATCGATCACTGCTCAATGACAAACCAATTGTAAGATCTCTCAGTTTTACAAACAGTTAGTCACTACCTGAATAACTATACAGTAGCATCACGAACTATGAAACTACCTGTGATAGGTCACAGAAAGTGTTGGTTTCCTTGAGATTATAGAGTGCCTTGTTGAATAGCGTCAATTAGCAAAAGACTTATGTTCCATGTTC